TGTATATATATATATATATATATATATGTGTGTGTGTGTGTGTATATATATATGTATATTCAATAAAAAAAAAACAGACGAGATGGTTGCTTTGCCTCAATTTATTTAAAATATATATGTATATATATTTATATACATATGTATGTATATATATATATATATGCATGTATATAGATACTTTAACTATAATTATAAAATGACAAACAATGAATTTATCTAGAACATTGTTTCAAATTTATTAACTTTAAAGTCACAATTATATGTGCATAGTATTATACAGGTGAATGTCAAATAATTAAAGTAAAAATGTTATAAAGAAGGTTTCTACAAATATATTTGAAACCCTTACACACATAATTTCTATGAATACAGTCGAACGTGGAAAAAATTAATTTCACTATATTCATTAGTTTTTAGTTAAATATAATATAATTTTTTTACAGTAAAAATTATAACTAAAGGAATCTGTCCAAAACTTATTTGATGAAAATAAATAATCAACATTATAGTCATAATCATTTGTGCATAGTAACATATAGATACACATGAATGTCAAAAAATGAAAGTAAAAATATTATAAAGAAGGTTTATAAAATATATTTTAAACCCTTACACATAATTTCTATGAATACAGTCGATCGTGGAATACAGTCGATCGTGGAATAAATATAAGTTCACTATTATATTACAACAGGTTTTAGTTAAATATAAATTAATTTTTTTTACAATAAAAATTATAACCAAAGAAATTGAGCCCAATAATATTTGTTGAAATTAAGTAATTGTTTTCATATAGTTCAAACACATTTTCCCCCCAATGGTTCCTTAAATTAAGCATCAAACATTGAGGATTTAATTTTAAACATATTACAAAAATTAGTCAATGGTACCACTGAGAGGCAGAAAAGTTGTTGAAATAGCCTTAATGATGATGATAAGAGATGATTATTCCATTGAATAAAACCATAATGTCTTATATTTAATGAACATGCAGAATGATGTTTTAAATAAACAATGACAATGTAGGGTTAAATATTTAAAATACTTAGTTTTTTGTCCAAATGTACAATGCAGTATTATACATAAAATACCAAAAAATTGGCAGCTTATAAGCAAATTTTACTATTCTCTCAGGAGCCAATGCCTCTCATCATAATTCACAAAAAAACTGTAATTCTGAATTTTTAAAATTTCTAAAATAACAAGTTGTAACTACATCCAATAATCAAATTTTATCTTTCCTCAAGGAATATGAATCTAAAATACTTTGTATGTTCAGTGAATGACACATATCCCTTTTACTAGACCTACAGTATAATCTTCCTTTGTACAAATTATTAATCCATGATCATCAATATAACATTGCTTAGATTTTCTTGACTGGACATTGTATATAATGAATTGCATACATAATGATTAGATAATTGTTTGTGGTGTCCAACAGAACAGATTTCCAGAGTAATTTTTCAGACTTCTCTTCACAGCCTGTTATTGAAATGTATATTGATTCTCTCTGCATAGAAATTAAATTAAACAATCTACCGCTGAGGTCAAACATTAAATCCATCTGACAGGGTAAATCTTGGATTCAAAACTGTAGGCTGAAAGAAAGAAAAACGTATTACAGCTTTAGATACATTTTAACAAAATGTCAGTGACTTTCTTGAGGAGAAACATTGTCACTGTAAATTAAAGATAATTTTCCCCTCAAAAACTTAACCATTTTATACTTCTGTATTAATGATAGTCAAAACTGTTTATATGGCTCTATTTATTAATAAGTTGCACTACTAATACTTCTTGAAAGTGGCGGAGTTTGTGCATTAATCATGGTCTTATGTGTATTGTATGACAAGGGGAAATTATATTCTTCAACTAAAATTCTGTAGGTTTCTAGATGGAGCAGTAAAAGTTCTGAGATGTATGAATTATTATTTAGTTTTTTGGATTACCTATAATTTTTACTATTATATAGACTTTGAATTGTGCAATAGGCTACACAATTCTCTTTTATGTGTATTCACAAACTTAATACAGTGATTAAAATAACTGTACAGTGGGCATAATACTTAATTAATCTGATATTCAACCATTTATATACAGTACTGTAAACAGTGAACCTACCTTATGCATGTTCTGTTAAGCATAAAATTGCTCCCAGTTTAACTGCTTGCATACAATATTTTCTGTAGAGTAAAAGAAGTGAGATTTAGTCACATTTCAATTATTGAATTCTTTCACAAGAATAATGAAAGTAATAGACCCCTTTAAAACTTCCCCTAAGCCCAAACTCATCAACAAAATATTGGCCACACTAATATCCCTGCATAGTTTATATAGCTAGAACAATCAACAAAATTCATCTGAGGGATAGACAAAATGAGATCAACAATAATTAAATTGAAGTTAAATAATAATCCGTAAAAATTAATAGAACTTAGGCAAAAAATGAAAAACTATGTTTTTCTGAGATGTAAATACACATTTAATAAAGTGAAGGATTGACATTAGGGGCAGCAATGAGACCATTGTATTACATATTGACCTAATAAATTGTCTAAAACATTTCAATAAAACACATTTTAATGATAATGTGAGTCCTAAAATAAGATTATTATAACAAAGCTATTTGTAATTTCATTGGGTATCTTATTATTTTGTGTACAGACATGTGTGTTTTTAGAACTCACTAGCTACTTTATCATTGACTATTTTTCTAGATAGTTCAAGTGAAGTCTGTTAGAGATACGGTAGTCCTAATTTAGTAAAAAACACATTACGTAAATGTATGTAATCTGCAATAATAACAAAATAAACAAATAATAATAAAATAATAAATAAAGAATGATATAAAAATAATATAGTCCGTAGTGTTTGAGGATTTTAAATAATTTTTTTTCACAAATTTTTGTGTTACATTTTTTTAAAATAATTTAATAAAAGAAAACAAACCTAACACTTATTGTTTAAATCCCTGATTTAAAAATGATTTTTTATGTTTAAACTATTTTTATATGTATTTTATTCATTGTACATTGTTTGATATATTATACCATGGCCAAATGAATATCCCTTTGGATAATAAAGTATTTTTTGAATTGAATTTGTATTTAAATGAATTGGCAAAATGTGAAGTACTTTGAAACAAAGTGCTGTATAAATACTGGACATTGAGGATGAAATTGGCGTGATCAGTATTTAATTTGCAGGATTCCATTGAGAAGTAGTCTGTGTAGAAAATTGCTGGTAGAGAGGTAGGCCTATGTGCGCAAAAACATCATAAGGCCAAGGTTACTGCATAATAATATATATACCATCTTTGTTAAAATATTGGAGAAAAAACCTTAAATTAAATTAGGCCAAATAAAAAAAAAATACTTGCTTAGCATCACCACTTTGAAATTACTACTATGTTGGGAGGTGATTTTTTAAAAATTAATATATAGTATCAATAATCCTTGTTAGATCAGATGCTACCTTAGCAGTGCCATGCCTAGGCACAACTTACATACCCACTCAGTAGCGGATCCAGAAATTTGAAATAGAGGGGGCCCAGGGAGGGACCAATCCACAGGTTGTGTGTCTGTACACATCAGCCCCACCACGGTTTTGGCTGAGACGAGAAAATTTATGATTATTGTAGCTCTAGATGATTGGAAATGGCATTCTCAACACTTTCAAAATATATTTAAATATATTTTATTATTATTATTATTATTATTATTATTATTATTATTATTATTATTATTTTTATTATTATTATTATTATTATTATTATTAATAGTTTTATTATTACTAATATAATTATTATTATTGTCAAAATTGTATCCTTCTAATTTTCATTTTTTCCCTAATTTTTTGTTATTTTAAAAACTTTAGGTGGAGACCAGACCAGCTTGGCTTGCCCTTAAATCCACCACTGTTTCAAAAAATTAATTTTTTTAGGTTTTAATAAAAAAACACACATGTGTTTTACAACCATAATTAATGCATAGAATAATCTATGAACAAAATAAATGAAAATGAATGATTGAAAATATTAATGAATAAATGAATGAATAAAAATTAATGATTAAAAATAAATGCATAAATAAAATCGAATAAATAAATGAAAATGAATGAATGAATGAATGAATGCATTAATAAATGAATAAATGAATAGATGAATGAATATGTGATTGAGTGAGTGGGTGAATAAATGAATGAATTAAATAATGAATGAATGAGTGAAAAAATTAGTGAGAATAAATGAGTAGAGAATGAGTGAGTAAATGGATGGACGAATGGATGGAATATTACTATTATTATTATTATTATTATTATTATTATTATTATTATTATTATTATTATTATTATTATTATTGTATCCTTTTATCCTTGTATAATTTTTTTTTCCTCTTTTTTTTATTTTGAAAACTTTAGTTGGGCACTAACTCCGCCACTGTTCCAAAAAAATTATTATTATTAGTTCCAATCAAAAAATACACATGTGTTTTATAACCATAATTAATAAAATGAATGAAAATATGAATGAATAAATGAATAAAAATTAATGATTGAAAATGAATGAATAAATGAATAAATAAAATCAAATGAATAAATGAAAATGAATGAATGAAAAAATGAATGAATGAATTAATAAATATATTAATTAATTAATAAGTGAGTGAATAAATAAATGAATTTATGCATGAATAAATGAATGGATGAATGAATAAGTGATTGAGTGAGTGGGTGAATGAATAAATGCATGAATGAATGAATGATTAAATGAATGAATGCATGAATAAATGAATGGATAAATGAATTAGTGATTGAATGAGTGGTTGAATAAATGAATGAATGAAATAATGAATGAATGAATGAGTAAACAAATGAGTGAGTGTAAATGAGTGAGAAAATGAGTGATTAAATGGATTGACGAATGGATGGATTATTATTATTATTATTATTATTATTATTATTAATAATAATAATAATAATACTTTTATTATTATTATTATTATTATTATTATCATTATCACTATTGTATTCTTTTATATTCGTATAATTGTCCATTTTTTCTCCATTTTTTAAAGTTTTGTAAACTTTAGGGAGTGAGCAAGCAAACAAGCAACATTCCTAAAATGATCAATATCTGATTTACAGTTTTTTTTAAAAATATGATTAATAATAATAATACTTATTATAATTATTATTATTATTATTATTATTATTATTATTATTATCAATGTAAATATCTAAATACTGTACTATTAAAAATGTTATAGGCCTAAAAGAAAAAAAATATAAGAGCAGATGACACATTCATACCTGTATGATTAAAATTTATTAATAAATTATCAATATTTTCAAAGTTACTATGGTGGGGCTTAGGTGGTCAATCTGTAAAATTTCCTCCCTGGACCTTTCTTTTTATTCCTTTGCCAAGGCTAGTTTTCAACTTTAATACCAATAACCAGTTAGCTGCACTGGAGCAGTAAATCTAGTAAATAATGTAGTATTTAAGCCAGTCTTGGACTAGGAAGGGAGAGGGTGGGGGGGGGGGGGGAGGAAGCCTAGCCTAGAACCTCTGTAATAAAATCGAGTCTAGGCTATGCCTGGGTTAGAGGCCTGTGTCTACATAGGGCTCTATATTATACACTAGGCCTAGTAGGCCTTAAGCCTAATATATAGGAGGCTAGTGTAGTAGAAATAGTGAATTCAAATAGGCCTGCACTGAGGTAATAGAACACCAGGGAATTACTATTAGGGGGGGCCCACTATGACACTCAAAGTAGGGAGCCTCTTGGCAATTCTAAATACCTAGGCCCTTCACCCCTAAGCCAGAGGCCCGGCTTTATCCCACACATAATCGAGCCGAAAGTTGTTCATCTAGGCCTAGGCCTAAACTAGGTAATATGCCGAGGGCCTTGGTCTAGGCCTAGGTTGACTGAACGTTAATGTTTTTTTTTTTTATAGCATTAGAGTTAATATAAGTGTAAAATTTTAGAGAAAGACATGATATACATACCTGTATACGTACTATTTTGAATTAAAAAAAACCCTGTAAATGCGTGTGTTTACAGTTATAATTCAGATGAATTCCAAAATGGCGTATTTAGAAATTGGTTTAAAAATCTACGCTGGTTCCCGGCGTTTGAGGCTGTTCTAGTATAGTAATTAAACTGTTGTAATCTGGTTGTATATACAATATACAGGACGGCATAAACCAGATTAGGATTATATAACCCTCGCATATTGCATTTTACAAGGACAGTCACCAGTCCTACATATATGAATATGATGACAGTAGAATAAT